CCCACAGGGGTAGGAAGGGAGGTTACGCAGGACAGATACGGCTGCCAGGGGCCAACCTTATGGTCTGGGGCAGTTTCTAGACAGGAGGTGGACTGTCATGACCTGAGAAGACACCAAGGTATCTTTCACCCTGAACAGAGATGAAGGGGCCTGCCCAGGCCCCTGTGCCCTAAGCCAGGAGAGCTGCTGGCAGTGGCGGAGCCCTTCTAAGTACCTGAGCAAAAACTCCAGCCCTGGTCTATTATTCAGGCCTAAGCCTCTGTCAGGGGCTTCTGCCTTCCTCCCCGCTCTCTCCTTTAGTCAAGCTTTGGAGCGCCTGTCCCCTTTCTGAGAAACTGCCCTGCTTTCTGCCCTACTCAAAGGGTCATCCCAGGAAGCCAGGTTTCCCTCTGTGAGCCACCTTAAGGTTGAGTCAGCCAGCCAGAGTCTCAGGACCAAGGTGAACAGACCTGACCCTGAAAGCTCAGGAAGTTCCTAGAATCCATGATGGGCCAGGTATGGTACTAAGGCAGCAGAAACTCCGAGAAAACAGAAGCCATAGGACGAGAAAAGAGGTTGAGAGTAGAGGAAAAGAATGAGCAAACCGGCAGCGAGAACTGAGCAGAGATGTGCAGAGACCAGCCGAGGGGGACTGCGTGCACCATGCAAGGCGGGCGAGGACAGCGGCCCATGCTGATGTCGCCTTGGTTCTAACAGTTTTCAATCCTGCCCATGTTTCCATCGCCAATGTGATTGCGGAGACTCAATTCATTGAAATGTTTCATTTTCTAATCACTGTTGCCAGTCATATTCTGTGAAACCCTCTAGCCCACTGGGTAGTGTGTGACCTTCGTCATACCTTAAAATGTTTTATTATTCAGCAATCTAACTATACTCTCCATCACTGCTCTTTAAAAATTATTTCTATGTCTTTACAAAAGTAATTTGTGTTCATGGCAGGCTAGTTAAAAAGCAAAATGTTAAGCAAAAAAAGAAGATACTAAGAAATCACCTGCAAGTCCACACCCAGAAATGCCCCTTTAGCACTCTGGTATCTGTCCCTCCAGCGCTTTTTCTAGGCATATAGACTTATGAGGCAGAATAGTGCGCTGAGGCATGACAGTTTTATCTGTGCCCTGTTGTAAAATCACCTGGGCCTTCCCTTGCTCTGAGGTGACTCTGTTTTCCCAGACCTAAGCACGTGGAGAAACAGAGCCGAGTTGACCAAAGGAAAGAATGGAGAGGAGAGGTGGGCCAAGCAGGAAGGGAGGTCCTGAGATAGAGGAAGGGTAATAGTGGGCAGTGTCCCTAAAGAGGGACAGGAACTCTGGTGGGGTGGCATGTAGATTCCATAGGTACTAAACTCTCAGAGCCACACAGGGGACATATGCCCGTACCTTGGCCAGTCTCTGTGGCCAGAAAAGGAGAGTCAGGTAAGAACGTGGCAATGCTCACCGAAACCACACGCCTGGAGCCATGGGTGGAGAAGCAGGTGCCCAGAGCAAGGACGGCTCCCACGGACACAGCCCCTGTTCCTGTGGTCTAGGCAGCTGCTCCCCTGTGTGGTTCCTACAGAGCTTCATTCTTCTTGCTCAAGCAATGGAGTAAAAAGAAGATGCAGAACAAGAAGGAGGAAAAGAGAGCCCTGCTTTTCCAGAAGAAGCTTAGAGGAAAGCTTAGAGGAAAGGCATGGAGCAGGACAAGAAAACATTAGAGAAACGTGGCTAAGAACACATGTCCTGTCTGCATGTTCAGACCCTGGGCTCTGCTGACCCCACCCTCGTGAGCCCAAGGGGAACTGGGAGAAGGGGGTGTCAGAAGGGGATTGTTCAGCCAGACCCGTACTCAAGTTGGCCTTTTCTTGCCACCTGGTTTTAATCTCACCACTGACAAACTGCATGTTATAATGGGGCCACAGAGGCCTGAGTTCAAATTCAGCAAACACGGCTTGCTCTCAACTCTGTATTCTCACGTGTAAAATGGGTCTAACAGTGTCAAGATCACAAAGTGCTCTGAGAATAAAATGAGGGACTGTAGTGGGTTGAATAAGTGCTCTGCCAAAATTCCTGTCCTCCCGTAGCCTTGGAATGTGACCTTATTTGGAAATAGGGTCTTGTACATGTAATTAGTTTAGATGAGATCATATTGGATTAGCGTGGGCACTAATCTAATGGCTGGTGTCTTTATAAGAGGAGAGGACATAGAGATACAAGGAGAAAGGCCATGTGAAGGTGGCAGCATAGATCAGAGTGACCCCACTAAGGGCAGTGCGTGAATGCCAGGTTGCTGGGAGCCACTGGAATAGTTCGCTGGGGAGAGGCAGGGAAGCATTCTTGCCCTGGGGCCTTCAGAGGGAGCATGGCCCGTGAGACCTTGACTTCAGACTCCCAGCTTCCAGAACAGTGAGAAAATAAGTGTTTTTTTAAGCTACCTAGTTCGTGGTCATTTGTTACAGCAGCCCTAGAAAACTGATAAAGATACCTATACAAAGTTCCTGGC